GATGAGGAGCCCTGAAGATTAATTTGTCTGAAAATTTGGAGTTTTCCCCAGAGAAGCTCACAGCCAATCCTGTTCCCATCAGGATTATCCTAATTCTTCAGTACTCCCCAATCCAACCAAAAAACATATCTTGCTTTTGTAGCCTCTTATTATGCTTCTATTACTGTACAATTCTACATATGGAGTCTGGAATTTTGTCCCAACACGACATCCTCTGTATCCTGAATTATTAGACATCGATCATTCTAATTATACGCTACTATATAGTTGCTGCCGTATGATAGTGCTTTACTGTTGTTTGTCTCTTCCACTCAACTCTACGTCGTCTATCTCTTTCTTCTTCGAGCATAATTTCTTCTTTGTTGACTTCTGCGGTGATTCTACTACTTGATGGATTTTGCGTCATTTTGTTATCTACATTCCTTCACTAAACACAAGCATATATAGTTAACTTACACGAAATCGGTTTCTTGTGGAAACTTATATTGCATCTAGTGGATAAGTTCGCCATGTAGACAAAGTTTTTAGATGTTGTTGTGGTTGGGACTGTTCATTTTGTTAAGAGGGTGTTAAGAACTAGTTGGTTCTAATCGTTCGAATGAATCTTATATATATACTAGTTGATCCCGCCCGCACCTGTTGTGGAGAATTGTGTTTTTTTTTTCCTAATTTTGTTATGAAATCTGGTCAAGAAGAAAATAAAATAAATTGGGGAATTTTTTTTTTTTTTGATAATGGTGATAATTAAATTAAAAGAACAAACGAAACAACAGAGTTTGGTACATGGTGAAATCGGGGGTAAAGAGAGGTTCAGGAGGACTGAACAACGAAAGACCCCGAGAAAGAACAAGTTAAAACCGAAAGAAAAAAAGCAAGCGAAGAGAAAGCTCGTCAAGATGGGCCAGACCATCCCCGACGAGAAGAAAACAGACACGGAGGAACAAAAGAAAGATACTGCAAGTGCTTATGGTGAGGCTGGCTGTGAGAGGCGACTGGAGATCCAAATGCGGCCTTCATCTCTGCTGATTTTGCCTGAAGCGATTGGCCATTCAATCATTGATTTGACTGCTCGTCCTTGGTAGGTTGGTCTAGTCGAGTATTTTGTCGTGGAACATGGGTCGGGGCAGGTTGATAGTTGATACAAATGGGTATGTACTTTGAAGGCAAAACACAAAAATATTTATTTTCTTTATTAAAAAATCAAGAAGCAAATTATGACACGATAATTGTAGTTAGATTTTTCACAAAATTGGAGTTCTCGCCTATTTATAACTTTATTATAGCTAAAAAATCATAAATAATTCAAATATAATTACATATAATTTAAACAAAATGGATCAAGAATCAGGCTGGTCAGGTCGAGCGAACAACCTATACCCATCCCCTTAAAAGCAATTTGATAAACCAAAATATAGATGCTATAAAACTAAAATTCTCCCTTATATATTACCATACATATTTACGAAAAGATGTAGCTCGGATAATACTACTACCAATGAGGCAAAGGTGGTACACCATCATCAACAAATATAATGCTTTTTTTACCTTCCTGCTTCTCTTGTCAATTTTATTTAAGGAACCGACCATTTTGTCCTCCTGACTTTGCTTCGGCTGTGGGTTGTAAATGTGAGTAAGTCATATTATTAGGCAACAGTAACCTGCATTCAGATTTATATATATTAGGACTTTGCTACGGTGACATGCATGTCACGGTGACATGCACTTTTCGGTCGACCTCATATAAGATCAGGTCGACCTAATCAGTTGTTTCAGTGTACAAATAGTTTCATGGTGCCTACTTTGGAGATTCATATCTTATAATTGGCTAGATGGAAATTGGAGATTAAAGGCTTGTTTTGAAGCTGAAGTGTCCCTCTACACATTAAAGTACTTGGGAGCTCAATAGAAAGTCCAGAAGACCATTTTTGAACCTGACCAAAAGGCTATGCCAAAACTGGGAAACTGCCTGAAAATGGCTAAGTCTGGCAACGTGTTTGTCAAGCCTACTTTGGAGCTCAATTTCACAAGCATGGATGCGAGTCAAGTCTAGGGGCCTTTACCACGTTAAATTACGTATTTTTTTATACAAATGCAAGGCATTGAATGAAAGATTGAATATCTTTAAGGCTTCAAACAAAATGCTCGAAGTTGCTACGAAGGCTGTTTTTCTGGCAGCTTGCTTGTGCTCGAAGTCTGCCAGAAAAACAGCCTTCGTAGCAACTTCGACCCTTTTGTTTGAAGCCTTAAAGATATCCAATCTTTCATCCAATTCCTTGAATTTGTATAAAAACATACCTAATTTAACGTGGTAGAGGCTCCTGGACTCAACTCGCATTCATGCTTCTCGAATTGAGCTCAAAAATAGGCTTCACAAACACGTTTCCAGACTTAGCCATTTCTAGGCAGTTTCCCAGTTTTGGCATAGCCTTTTGATGAGGTTCAAAAATGGTCTTCTGGACTTCCTATCGAGCTCTCAATCACTTCAATATGTAGAGGGACACTCCAGCTTCAAAACAAGTCATTAGTCTTCAATTTCCATCTAGCCAATTGTATGATATGAATATCCAAAGTAGGCACCATGAACTGTTTTTACACTGAAACAACATATTAGGTCGACCGGATCCTATATGAGGTCGACCGAATCCTAACTGAGGTCGACCGGATCCTATATGAGGTCGACCGAATTCTATATGAGGTCGACCTAATCCTAACTGAGGTCGACCGGAAAGTGCAAGTCACCGTGACATGCATGTCACCGTAGGCACACCCTATATATTAATAATATCATTCATTGATATGTCTGTGGAATCTCTCAATAATCATAGACTCGAATATCATGTCAAAAACCATTTGAATTTTTGCTTACACCCACTATTTGGTGGACGAAGAAGGAAATGACTTACACCCACCCAAGTAAGTACTCATAGTCATAGGGTAGTTGGATTGAGTAATTGTGCATGGTGAACGAGTAAGCGAGTTAGGCAAGTCAACAGTAAAAATTCCAAAATCACGTATTTAAAAAAAATTCAAACTAAACAAGCACAAAAAAACTCAGTTAAGGAACACTGAACTGAAATGGTTAAGGAATCATAGAGGGAAGATGTATTTGAGGATATTAGAAAGATACAAGCATGGAACAAATTAGTCTTCAAAATATTACGAATAACCACAAAGATGATGAGGTTCTTGAGTAATAAAAAAAATCGAGAAGGAAGGATAAATATATTTGACAAAAAATTTCATTCAAATTGGTGAAAATGGTTATAATTTTGATTTTTTTTATAAAGACAATAAACAACAGGAATAAGAGGACCTACAAATTTTTAGGGATTTAAATTTTTTGTTCGCACCCACCTACGATTTGCTGGTTTATCTATTTGAAAACACATTCGTCCGTAGAAAATTACCCAAAACATTAGAAATCAGAATAAGTTGAAGCCGACGAGTTTAAGTTCATTTATGTGCCAAACCGTTCACATTCTTTCACAGAGCCAATATTGTTGTTGTTTTTTCCCACAAAATGTGACAAGAAGACAGTAAGCAAGAGAATAAAATTAGAGAATGGACTCAAAATACACACAGTAATTCGTGTGTAAATGAAGCAAATAAATATATAATGTTGGATTTCCAATTCGTCTCCGCAATCAGAAGACAATTATATATGTGAACATGTCCATTGTTAGCTCGTGGAGAGTGTTTGTGTTCACGATTTGGTCTGAAAATTGGGTCACTGAACACACATGCTACCTAGCTTTGCCCTCCTACCACTAGCCTTGAAATCCCGTCTCTGTGTATTTTTTTCCTTTCTCTGTTTCTCAACTCTCAAGACTAATTTCATATTATTATTATCATTATCATTATCATTACATTATTATTAGTAGTAATAGTGGTATTATTATGTGGCAGGACCAGAAGTTTTGAATTGAGGCTGCACTTTACGATGAAAGGTCTGTGTTTCTAATCCAAAGAGAATAAGAGATCCCTGAACACTGAACATGGACCTGGGAGACGCCTGGCTGGAATTGGGCTCCCCACTCCCTACCCAAATTTTGGGCCTTTAGCATTTTTTTTTTTCTGTGGTGAACAAAACAAAGAGACAAAAACCAATTTGTGTTGATGTTTGTTTCTGCTTCTTCTGCCTGCCAGTGCCAGGATTCATTCATTATTGATCATCCTCTCCTTCAATTTGGGACGGAGATTCATTCCCACGGCCCACGGGCAGCCGTTCATTTGGCCTTGGATTTTCCCTATTTGTCCTTTAATCGACACTCACTATGTCACTTCCCATAGAAACTTTCACCAACAAAGAAACTGAATTAATTTTTTGTCACTTACTCATTTCTGCTCTCTAAAGTCTAATCATTACACATTCAATAATTAGCCTACCAATATTTCAATATTATGTTCACGTTTTCTGCTCATAGAATATTAAGAAAGTAGCCAAGGAGAAAATGAGACATTGATTTTCGTAACTAATGAAGCCACCAATCCGATCAAAATACTAAATAGGGTCACTTAGATGAGTTATTCTAACAAGTTATTCTAATCAAAATAACTTGTTGTGAGTAATTTGTGGCAGAATAACTCATCTAGAAACACAATGCACAATATATTATGTATGTACTTATAAGTTATTTTTAACCCGTGTTATTTCAAAATAACTCGAATGAGTTATTCTAAATAATTTATACTCCTGATTTTTCTAAATAACAATCCTTACTTACTTTTCTCCATCTAAATACCAAAGACTACATGCAAATAACTCACAAATTTCCCTTTTCCAAACAAGACATTTTTACACCCAATTTTATCAAATTACATACAAATAATACTTATAAAATTTATGAATTATTTGTACATAAATACCATACTACAATCAATAAATCATCCAATCAACCATATTTTATTTTTTTAATTATTTAACATATGAAAATAATAAAATATACTATCCTATTCGTAAGTAACGACTAGATCCAAGCCTCCATTCCCTCCATTAAACAAGGAAAGGAACCCCTCACAAACAAATTTGTTATTTTATTTCTTTCTCCACAAAACAAATTTATTTCAAAAATAGCTTCCCAAACTATACACCGCACTCCACGCCACCATCACCACCATCATCCTATCCATCGCCGCCGTCACCGCCGCCGCCGTTTCCTCTCTTTTCTTCCCCTTTTCAATTTCCATTCACTTCTCGCCTTCACGACCCATTAACCGGCAACTCTAGTCCTATTCCTCCCATGTCTACTGCTACTTTCCCACTATAATGACCCGGAGCCCCGAAGCCGACGAAAACCCCAAGCCCAGCTCTAACATCGGCGGCGGCGGCGGCGGCGGTGGAGTAACAACTGCGATGAGAGTTATCATCCCTCTGCAAGGAGTGGTTCAAGGGAGGGGCGGAGTTTTCTTGGGTTCAGTCATACCCTGCGCTCTCTTCTACTTCCTCCAATTGTACTTGAGAAGAAACCGCGACGACCCGAGAGAGTCCGACGACCGAAGTAATCCCCAGAATTCCGAGCCCCGGGACGATTCCGGGTCATCCGGGCAACAGCTCGCGGAGATTCATGGGTTCCATCGAACGTCGTCTCGCAATCTTCTCTCGCCGAGGAGTCCGGCCGGCCGGGCTTACGTTTCGGGTCGGGCCAGCGTAATCGCGAAGAGTCCTGGTGGTTCTGAGTCTCCGTACTATGCCGGGATGAGGAAGGCGACGGAAGATCCGTACGACGAGACGGGTAACCCGAATGGGATTATCCAGCTCGGCCTAGCCCAGAACAAGGTGGAAAGGAATTTCATCGAACCGAATTGTAAAATCTTGGTTGCTCTGTTCATTCTTTTGCTGGATTATGTGAATCTTGATTTTTGTTGTTTTGGTGGGGCTTGTTTGGCGTGTAGTTGACGATGGACTTGGTGAAGGAGTGGCTGGTTAAGCATGCAACGGAAGCCATTGTTGGAGGCGGAGGAGATGATGGTGATGACGAACATTTGAGCGTTAATGGGGTTTCTACTTACCAGCCCTGTGATGGATTGATGGACCTCAAAGTGGTAAAAGCATCTCTCTTACTCTTCTTTCTCCATGCTTTTGGCCTTAGGCTCGCAAGAAGTTATAATTGGAGTCCTTAGTTGTATTTACCCTTTCGTTACTTGGAGCTTGTGAAAAGCTGTTTACTTGTATGGATCTCTAGTCGTGAATGTGCATATGCTTTTGTGGTGATTTGATCTCCTAAAGCTAAAACCCAAGAATGCAACTTTTTTAAGCATCTGCTTCTTTTCCCTTTTCTTCTTTTGCTGAATGCAATTGGTCTTCAAGCTTCATAACTGCTAAGTTGTTTGTTTCTCCTCGCAGGCAGTGTCGAGCTTCATCTCACAATGCATGGAACACTCGGTTTCATTCGACCCATCAAACATGGTATTAACAGCTGGTGAAACTCCTGCAATCGAGATACTTGCATTCTCTCTAGCTGATGCTGGCAATGCATTCCTGGTGCCCACACCATATTATCCAGGGTAAAAGACCATGGCCTTTCCATATCTTCACAAGTTTTCGACTTGTAAAGACCCGTGAAAGCATATATCTAATGAATGATGTACTGTTTCCAGATTTGACAGGGATGTAAAATGGCGAACTGGGGTCGAGATAATACCCGTCCCCTGCCGCAGTGCAGACAACTTCGCCTTAAGCATAACTTCTCTAGATCGAGCATTCAACCAGGCCAAGAAACGAGGGCTACGAGTACGTGGGGTGCTAATCTCAAACCCCACTAGCCCAGTTGGCAATCTGCTTACCCGAGAAACCCTCTACAGCATCCTAGACTTTGCTCGAGACAAGAACATCCATGTGGTCTCCAACGAGCTGTTCGTTGGCTCTTCTCATGGAAGGGCCGACGAGGAGTTTGTCAGCATAGCGGAGCTCGTTGATGAAGTAGACAAAGAAAGACTGCATCTAGTATACGGCCTGTCCAAAGACATCTCCCTTCCAGGTTTCAGAGTTGGGGTCATTTACTCTTTCAACGACACCGTTCTCTCTGCTGCTCGACACTTGACTAGGTTCTCGCCCGTCTCGGGTCCCACACAGCACCTGCTGATCGCCATGCTTTCAGATGTCCAATTCGCTCAGGAGTTTGTGAAGGTGAACAGAGAGAGGCTTAGAAGAACGTTTGATGCATTTGCAGGAGGGTTGAAGAAGATGGGGATTGATTGCGCAGAGAGCAACGGTGGGTTCTTCTGCTGGGCTAATATGAGTGAGTGGATAAGCTCGTATAGTGAGAAAGGGGAGCTCGAGCTTTGGGACAAGTTGTTAAAGACAGGGAAGGTCAGTGTAACTCCTGGATCATGTTGCCATTGTATTGAACCTGGATGGTTCAGGTTCTGTTTTGCTACCTTGACTGAAAGAGAGATTCCTGTTGTTCTCGAGAGAATACGAGGTGTTGCTGAATCGTGTAAATCTCAAAGTTGAAGAAATGGTTAATTTTGGTGAACAGAAATGTTTAGGCCATCCCAGTATAGGGGCTTTTCGGGTAGGAACAATTTATTGGAGCTTGTTTCATAGCAGAAGCAGCAAAATAAGGGTTCTTTCATTACATAATTGTATAGATTAATTTCTTTTTGTAATCAAAATGTTGTCCATCATTCTTTTATGTATCATATTTCAAACATTCATGGTCAAATACTGGGTTCAATTTGTTATCGAATCTCTTTTTGGTATTGTGATTTTTGTCAATTGAAACAATATGTATTAAGATAATTGAGGACTAAAAAGGTAAACTGGGTATGAGTCTTTTTTTAGGCATTTGAGAAGAAATGGAATTATCACCCAGATGATAGATAAAAAGAATCATATTATTTGCAATAAGTTACCGCCATAAACAACTTGAACCTTTTCAAGTTCAAAAAATGGATACCAAAGAATGAATCTTCCTCTCCCCAGTCCCCCTGTGCTCCTAACACCACCTTTCATCTGCACAAAAACTAACCAAAACCACTAAGAAAACCCATAAAGAAAATGACGAGCCATTTCACATCTTACTATGAAGATTCCGCTCCATTTCTGATCGACTCAAGCACTTGAACAACCTCAGCCATGCTCGGTCTCCTCGAAGGAGCTTCCGCAGTACAAATCAACCCAAGTTTCATAACCTGAACCACTTCATTCTCCGGAAAATCTCTCAGATTCCTGTCGAAGCAATCAGAAGCAGGGCCATTTTCCAACACCCTTCGGACATAATCACGCAAACCTATCACCTCGTTCGATAACGACAATACCGGTGTCTTCCCTGTAACCAGCTCCAACAAAATCACTCCAAAACTGTACACATCAACTTTCTCGTTCACTCTAAGACTCTGAACCAGCTCTGGTGCCACGTACCCTGCAGCACTGTGGCTGGTCGAACCATCAGGATCTAAAATCGGTAGCAACTTCCCCAACCCATAATCTGACAACTTGGCCTTGTAGTTTTCATCCAAGAGTATGTTGGTGGCTTTGATGCTGAAATGGAGAATTGGCGGCTTGCAATCATGGTGAAGAAAGGAGAGAGCTCGTGCGGCTCCCAGTGCAATTTGGAACCTTCTGGACCAGTAATGGAGCTCAGAATTGCCAACAGCAGCAGTACTTGTACTAGGAAATTCAGGGGAGCCATGTAAGTTCTGCTCTAGGCTGCCATTTGGATAAAATTCTGTAAACATTAACCTCATTGACGATGACCAGTAATATCCCTGGAAAGGAACCAAGTTGGGATGTCTTAGGTTGGCCAACGGTCCGATTTCATGCTCAAACTCATCTAGGGTCCTTATCCTGCCCAAATACTGAAGCTTTTTCACTGCAATCGCAACCCCAGCTTTGAAATTTCTCCTGTAGACCGGACCTAGAGATCCACGTCCTAACAAGAATTCCTTATCGAATATAGTTCTGGTGGCTTTCCACCAATCCTCATACTTTGCAGGCAGACTCTTGCTGTATAGAACCAGCTTCCCTATTTTGACATGTGAATCAGTGGAACTTGAACCAGGCGGCGTGCTCTCAACAACTACCACTTCATCACTGCCGCGTGCTCTGATGTTCATGATGGATACCATGCAGACACCAAGAAGGATGAGAGATGCAGCAATTATTGCTACAATGACCGAAGTACTCAGCACCTTGCTTTTTCTCCTTGCTGCAGGTGGTGTTGCTGTTCCATTGCATGGCTTCTGCAATGGAGGACCACAGAGGTCGGAGTTGTTGAGGAATGGAGATGGTCCAAATGCCTGGAGTATTGGTGTTGAAGGGATTTGGCCAGAAAGGGTGTTGGAAGATAGATTTAGGCGTGTTAGATTTGATAAATTTCCGAGAGAAGGAGGGATTGTGCCAGAAAGGTCATTCCTTGATAAGTCTAGAAGTTTCAGCATTGAGAAGTTACCAAAAGATGAGGGTATCGTGCCATTAAAATGGTTTCCGTGCAGATCAAGGACTTCCAAGGAAGTTATGTTGGAAAGTGTGTCGGGAATTTGTCCATCTAAGGAATTACCAGAGACATCCCTGCATGAAGTAAATCAGAGAAGTGGTTAGAAATTTGCACTAGATACTCACAGCTCTAGGAGAAATCATTTCAAGCTTGCACTAAATACTCACAGCTCTCGAAGAAATTTGCAATTGCTTATGTCTTGAGGAATTTGACCAACGAGGTTGAGATTGTGGAGATCCAAAACCAGAAGCAACTCAATGGATCCAAAACCTGTAGGAATGGTTCCAGCTATAGAATTGTTCCCCAGATTGAACACCAAAAGCCTTGTCAGTTGTCCAATCTGAACTGGGATTCCCCCATTGATCCTGTTGAATCCCACATCAACAAGCAAAAGATTGCTGCAGTTTGTAATGCTTGGTGGTATCTCCCCATCAAAGCCATTACCTGAGACATCAAGGATTTCTAGCCCCTCGCTGCAGGTTTCAAACTCAGGAATCTCACCACTAAATTCGTTTTGAGATACATTAAAATAACTCATGTTCTGCAATCCAATAACCCCGAATGGAGCCAAACCAGTGAAGCCATTGCTGCCAAGATCCAAAAAACTCAATCTTTGGCACATTTCAATCTCCTGTTGTACATTACCAGTTAACACATTGCTTCTCATAGACATGTACTGTAGCAAAGGAATATCACAGATTCTAGGAGGCAATTCGCCACTAAGATTGTTGAATGAGAAATCGAACCCCTCGAGATTTACACAATTCACAATTGAGAGAGGGATTGAACCAGAAAGGTTGTTGTGAGCAAAAGACACAAACTTGGTTCTCAAGCAAAACTTAAACAAAGCTGATGGTATCTGTCCAAAAAATTGGTTCCTTGACAAGTCAAGGAACCTAATATTTGGCAGATCCCCGATGAATTCCGGGATTGACCCGGATAAAGCATTGGAGCTCAAATTAATCTTCCACAATGTACTTAGTTCTGAATACTCCTGAGGGATGCTCCCAGTAAACTGGTTGCCATACAATGTCAAGATTCTCAAAGATGTCAAACCTGATAATCCTGGTGAAAGAACTCCAGATAGGGAAGTGTTCCAAAGAACAATCCGCTCCACCAATCCAACTGAGTTGCAGAAAACACCACTGAATTCGCAAGGTTTGCCGCTAGGAACCCAGGTGGCCAAGCTGTTGTAAGGGTCATTGGTGATGTTTCCCCTGAACTGCAGCAAGATATCCTTCTCTGTAGTAACTGACTGAGAAACCGTTTCCAACGCAGTAAACCCAAGGAGGCAAGCCGTTAAGAGCAAAAGAGCATGAAGGAGACAGAACTGGCCAAATCTTCTCCTCATGCTCACAGTATAAAATGTAGACAAAATTGGATCTCTACCCGTTTGGCATTATTGACAGCACAACATGGAAGCCAAGAACGCCACAACTGGAGAGAGAGAAGATCAGTCAGCCTCTCCTCTGCAACAAATCTTCCTCCTCGAACCTCCGCAAGTGAAGACCCTAACCTCATCGACCAAATAGAACAGCACCATCCTTCTTTTCGTCCTCTCTTAGTCCCTTTTGACCCTTTGCCCCCCACAATTCTCACTGAATATGAAGTAAAGCACCCAACTTTTTGTTTGCAAGCCAATAATCACACAGAAACCAAAGACAATCAAACGGTTCAAACTACAAGCAAACCTTTTGCTGTCCGTTGGGAAAAGGGAATTTGTGGGTTTTGGTAAAGAAGCAATTTCTCGAACACGTAGCAGGCACAGAAGCATGGGAGGGAGGGACTAACTCGGAGAGAGAGAGATGGAAATTGGGGACAAATTAAAACTTCCTTGGCTGGAAAGGAAGCAGAGTACAGGAGTTGGGTTGCAGCAAAATTAATTAATGGGGGAAAGTGGCCTCCCTACGAGTGATTCCCCTCCAAATATGCTACCAACTGAAGAGGGAAACCACGTGCATTCTCTTTCCCTCCACAACTCTTTCTCGTCGCTCTCAAAGGTTGCAGCTTTACGCTACTAAATTACTGTTGCAAATCCTAATTAGTTTACAGATTGAAGCTTTCGAGTCAAGCAGGGTTAAGAGAGAGATAAGAACACAACTAACGAGCTCCCAAGGGTTAGTTATAGAACGGCAGCTGGGGAGGAAAGGAGGGAAGGGAAGGGTGTTGTTGTTGTGAAGAGGGCAAATGCATTTACTCCGATTCACCAACTGAGTCGACACCAGCTTTTCATAACTATCAGCGAGAACCATTATAGTGACCCAATTGGAGTTCAATGCCGGGGGAAACTTAGCTAAAGACAGCGCGATTTGGGAGAGAAAGCGAAAGGGGAAAAGAAAACAAACAAGGAAAAGAAAGAGAGAAAGTTAAATTAGGGGGGAAATGGCAGATTTCAATGGGTGTGTTCTGGTTTTTGGCTGGACCGGGGATTGGCATTAGGGTTTAGGGTCTTTAATTCATCTGTAATAATGATTCTCTCATTGTTTATTAGGGTTAGGTGGGTATTGTTTTGCCTTTTTTTTTAGAAACGGAGGGCAGAGGGGCGCTTCAATCCTTAATTATTGATCAATCGCGCGGTTTGCACCCCAAATCTATCGAAATACAACCAATAACTCAAAGCAACACTAGGGACATTAAAAACATGTAACCCCACAGGTAAAGAGTGGCCTAACGAGGCTAAATAGTCCGCCACGAAATTGCATTCTCGGAATACATGTGTGATACGAATTTCCCAGTCCAAAGCCAGCACACGGCGAACAGCAGCAATAAGCCCTCTATGCGAGTTGTGATCAGGAGCTGAGTGAATAAGTTGTACCGTCGTAGCAGAATCAGTATGTAGCTCGACCTTCTCCAACCCTGACTCCCACGCCAACCGAAGCCCGTGTACAATCCCTGCCAATTCAGCATGGGTGATGGAGCCAGCACCCAAGTTAACTGAGAATGCTTTAATAAATCGTTCGTCATCTCCTCGAAGAGTTTGAAATATGTGGTTAGAATTAATTCATACGCTAGTATATATAAGAGGAACGTATTATATTATGATTTAATCGGCAACAATAACGAATGATAAGTGAACAAACACGAGATAACCACTCAAAATGTTACAAAAGGAATGGACTCTTCATCCCCAAATTACACGGGTATATGTACGAATATGAACCCTTTGATGGTTCAAACTTCAAATTTTCAAATAAAACTCTCCTTTGAGTTGTCAATGGAAATATATAATTCATCCACAATATTTATATGGATCATCTATAGTTGACTTACACAAATATGTCATTAAATTTGATCTATTCGTGTTTCAACATTTATGTTGAATTTTTCAAATCTACTCTTTACATTTCATATATGGCGTCTTTCTTAAGTGTTCTACGATTTTGTTAGTTAGAGATGTTTTAAGCGCTTAATAGTAAAGGTAAACAATAGATCGTGTCTCAAAAGTGCTTATGAAACTAAATAATCGCTCATAGTTCTTTTCCACAACCTAACAACCATTAACCATAACTAATTATCTTGTTTAACATGAATTATTTAATCAACCTTCTAAACCCGTTATCAGCCACCCAACAATGCATAACCATACACTTTAGCTATGTTTTAAGCTAAAAAACCAACTCTCCATATAATCATACAAATATTCCATAATGTTAAAATTCTAAATAATTGAAGTCATTTAAAAACAATTACCATCTAATAATCATACAAACTTAATGGCCTATCTCAACTCGAATACCGAATCAATTGCTTTACCTCATCTTTAGGGAGTAATATCATGACAAGAGCATGAAGATTGATTCCACCTTGCCCATGACACGTCACATTGTTATTTTGTAAGAAAAGGGGATTACTGATTAGACAAACAATTAGGAGACGATGATGAAATAGGTCACGAAAGAATGGAACAAAACTAATAAGGTACCAACCCGAAAGTACGAAAATTAATAAGAGGGTGCGAGTGGGTCCCACAAAAGTTAATGGGAAAACGCCAGAATCGTGACCGTTGGATTAAAATGGGTTTAATGTGCGCGGCTGGATGAATTGTGTTGCCAATCTGTCTCTCCGGTGGTGCCCCACTAGAGGAAAGTGGTCCACTCCATCCTCGCCGTCCATCGTTCATGCTTTGCCGCGTTTGACTCTGTCCACGTGGGGACCATCCTCACCAACCACTCCACTTTTAGATGCATCCGACGGTGATCCCCGTCCCCGCCATGAATTATGCTGAGCTGGCAACTCCGGTGGTCCACACATGATCAGGGCCCCAAAAACAAGTTTTTATGAAACTAGATTAATCAAATTCTAGCCAATAAAAACCATAATTAGTAGTTGGTTTTCTTGTAGGCCCTTGTTTTGCTCGCTCTATGTGCACTTGTTAGGTGTCATCAAGCGCTCTCCTATATGGCAACCTAACCTTTTATTTAGGCTCATACTCAAATCATTGGCCGAATGATTTTTTTAAGAAGGTGCCAAGCTGAATATTATAGTTGAAGAACCTTTTTGAATGATTAACATATCTTTAATATGGGAGGGAATCATTTATAATAAAATTGTGTTCTTGTCTTGATCATTTCTTTATTACTTCCAATTCCAAACCCTACTATAAATATAATGCATGCACGCGCTATGATGTATAGAGTTAGCAATAAAGTTTACCCGAATCCCCCAACACCCCTCATTGAGAAATTGTTACTTTTTCGATAAGCATGTGATGAACTTCCTTGATTACTGATTAATTACAGAAACAATAACCCGAATAGGTATTGTTTGTACTCTGTTATCTCTCAATCGAGTTTGCGATTCAAGTATCAAAACATCATTATTATAGTATTGATTATTACATATAAACAAGAAGACTTTCATCGACTGTTATACTATAAAAATTATTTTTATTTTATCGGATGTCTACAAAGGGTGAAGTTAATTTTGTTCCAAGTAGAAACAAATATTCACTCAAGGTGCCATGGCCTACACAGTGTGCAGCTTCTGTGGCCATACTAAGCCCAAAAGAGAGGCCAGACCGTTGGGCTGACGCCGAAGGATATCAGCATTACAAGCTCTGGCCCAAACCCCTGTGGCCCTGTCCATCGTGGCCCTGCTCCGACCATTTCCATCACCAGCTTTTCCAACGACAAACTATTCAGATCACAAACAAATAATCGACTTCAATGATTGTGTTGCAGAACCATTGCCGTCTGCATAATTTGCACACCTAAAATTTGACTCACAAGTCAAGCAGACTTCTGAATTTTGATAGATTTTCCAGGTTCAGCCCTTTTCAGGGGTACATCTCAATCATATACAAGGATCAATTGGGGGGTAGAAAGCAAGAAATAAAGAATTTGGAAGAGAGAAGTCAGAATGGAAGCAGATAGCAAAACCAAAAAAACAAGCAAAAACGAAGCTGGTTTCTATACTAGGTTAGATGCCTGTCCTTCAGATTTCCTGTCCCACGCTGCTATACACACCGCTGTTCATGATCAGGCTCCCGTACTGTGCACCCTTCTGTGTACAGATGAAGTTATTTCAACAAGAAGATGCTAAATTTCATCATCCTGCTGCTTCAATCATCTCAAAACTATACATGCAAACTGCTGTGACTGTCTTGTGTTGCTGCTGCAACATTCTTTTCTCTCCTTTACTGGACCAGGAAACAAGAATCAGAGGAAGCTATGCCAAAAGAGGTTCGTCTTGCAGTGCCTTCAGCCGCTTTTTAGCGTAGAGAGTGAAGAACGCCGTGGTGGCTGCCGTGAAACAGAAGCCAATGGCATTGAAAGCAATCTGTGATGCTGACAGATCGTGCTCGTCCTGTGAAGCATCTGCCAGTGTCTGTATAAGGATCCCTCTGTAATAATTGGATCAAGACTCCCACTCATTAGCACATGCATTTTTCCAGTTATCAATCAATTCAATATACAGGTCACACTTGCATATGTAGATATTAATTTTTAATGATAATGAAGGCCAATTGTTCAAGCTAACTATGACAATAGAGTTGTTAGTTAGCCCACCTACCTAATATGATTCCCAGAAATTGGAATATTCCAAATCCTCTAGCTTAGCTACATGTTCTCCAGAGTTTCCACCAACTGTCCTAGACAGAGATTCCATATTCAATATGAAAACTAAACTTGCAGAAAAACTAGATTGGAAATGTAAGCTTAATACATGTCTAACAATTCCCCGTGACCTCATGGTCCCAAGGAATAGTTTCCACCAAACACGTATGCAGCAAAGCAAGCTACTCCATCCGGTCCCAGATAACTGATCAAAACCAATGTAGTTATGTGAAAGAATCCACAGTGGCACAGTACAGAGTGCAAACAACCTTGAGCACACTGATAAGTATGCCGTCAGTGCTTGGAAAGAAAGTAAAATGTGTACGACTTAACATCAGGTCATGAGAAATGGGTGAGTTGAACAAGTAAGTTATTCTAACACACATGTCCCTAATGTGTATAACCAGCTTCATCATCTCTACAAATAACTCACATTGACAAGTCATGACAGATAGGTAATTGTGTACAACTTAACATTCAGGCATGCAGAATCAGCAAAAAAGGAGCCAGGGATGAAAAAGAAGGGAACAAAAATATCAGATAAGAGGTCTTACGTGTAGAGGGTAACAAATATCTCCGGAACCATGCCCGCCAAAGACCCCAGCAGATAAGGACCATACTTGACATGCGTTGCAACAGCGCAATAATTATATAGAATATAAGGGAACGGCGAAATTCGTATTAAAGCCACTGAGCGAAACTGGTGGAGCCAATTCCCTTCACCAGCTGCTCTCAGTATGTAAGCCTGCTTTGGATATTTGTCAAACCATCCCTACAGAAAGTGGCCACACATCAAGACATCAAGATCAAAGAGTGAAAATTCCACCTATCCGATGAGAAACAACAACAAACCTGTGGTAACTTCTTACCTCAATTCTATGAAGGAACAGAGTACCAATGCAAAATGGAAGTGAAATTCCAGCAGTGATTGCAACTATGATCAATAAGAATCCATAGCCATAACCGAAAGTCATTCCAGCTACCCACATAGAAGGTGAAGACGGCAAGAGTAGGGTTGGGAAGAATGCGACTGAAAAGAAGACTAGAAGTGCCAGCTCTGGAGTGCTAAAGGTTGTCGTCTCCCAGTTGATGATGGGAATGATTTGCTGCAGAAGGCATAAGATGTTAGAAAGGCCAAAATTTTGTTGAGGGGCAACATGCAACTCAAAGGAAAACACTACCGTGGGATTGCCATTGAAGTCGGTACAAATGAACATAAGTGTTCAACAAACTGAACACACTACCGTGGGACTGTCATAGAAGTACACATTTCCACAGAGCATATCAATCAAAGGAAAACACTACCATGGGATTGCCATTCAAGTCGGTACAAATGAGCATAAGTGTTCAACAAACGGATGAAAATCAGGAAGAAAGAAAAATAAGTCAGCTACAACAAAGAAGCACAACTCACAATTGCAATCCACAAATTAGAAGACACGGGAAATCGACAATTCACCAAACAACACTGGAAATCATACACTAATGACTAAGTAAACAAAAATTCAAGGCCTGAGAAAGGGAAAAAGGACTCTTGGTTACCTTGTCCATGAAGTAGGGACCAACCCATTTGAGCACAACGAAAGCCAAGCCACCTAAACAAGCAAACAGAGCAGCAAGCTTAACCCAATACCAAACGACACACCAACTCCACCTCCAACAGAAGAAACCAGATCCTGGTTTCCCTACTCCATCATCATCATCATCAAGCCCTTCTTCCTCCACTCCATCCTCGCCTCTCAATCTCATATACCCAATTTTATTCATAACACCCTCGTTGTCTCCTCCATTGCAATCATCATCTACTCTCATCCTCAGCTCCGGAACCGAATTGTCATCATCATTTCTATAAGTCATTGGAGGAAATAAAAAAAATCCCCACAAAAATTTTATTTAAGAACCCTAAAAAGGGGAAAAGGTCGGAAATTTCACGTTTGGCACCCGAGAAAAAGAGGAGGAGAATTTCTCAGTGCGTGAATTCCCCTTCCTTCCCGACTTCTTCCTCTTGGATCATCCAATACGCGATCGTGATAGAAGGAACACAGAGAATGAGGATGAGAGAGAGGGAAGGAGGAGTAGAGAGAGATGGCGATGGAGGAGGAGGAGCAGCAGCAGCAGAAGAAGAAGGGACAGAGAAGAGAGAACCCACTTACAGGAATTTCTGTTTCCAGGATTCCCACCCCATTAATAATTTCTCCCAAGCCAACGTTCCTCTCTCTCTCCTTCCTTCCTTTTCCTTTTTATTTTCTCACTCTGCCCTTTTTCTACTCGCTGAAGAAAATAGGTTTTTTCTTCTTTGTTCTTCTTCTTCTTCCTCTTGGTGATTTACCGTTCCGCCATTGCTCTTCCCGGTTTAATCGCAGGAGGTTCCGTGACGTGGCGGGAGAAGACGTGTGACGCCGATGACGTGGCGTTAACGGTGCTGTTCCTCATTGTCGCTCTCTTTGCTGTCGTGACTCCACCGTCACGGAAAAATGATGAGTTAGTTACTTGGCTAAATTGGGACTCGTTGAGTCGTGTGACCCGGCCGAGTCCTGGAAGCCTATTTTCATTTTCTTATGAATAACTAGTTACATTTTTAGGAATAACGTCGATTATTACACTATTCTAATTGGCAGGTTGCACTTCTAGATAATAAATAAAAGCCGAATGATGAAAACCGTTGCTCCATTTCAAATTTCCTGCAACGAGAGTGATTATAGGAAGGATATTTTGGTCTTCACAATTGCTTATTTTCTTATTTATTTATTCATAAAAAAGGCATGCACTGGGATTTGAACCTTGGTCTCTTTAAAGGCAAGCAAGGATCATAACCAATCACACTAAGTATATTTATTATATCTATTTAAATTCAAACATACATGAACCTAAATTATGAAAATCATAATGATTTTTTTAACGATTAGTTGGCCACTGAATCTCCCGTAAGTACTTATTTGGTGTTTTAATACTTTGACTATTTTAGTTGTAGTTTAATACTTAATTTAAATTTCTATCTATTTTATAAATATACAATAACCCTAAAATTGCAGCCCAAATATCACTGGTTCGAATATTGCATATCGAATTGCAATATTAAACATGTAGAAGCAATATCGACTTCTTAAATTAATATTATTTTTCAGAATTACTATGGAGAAATTATATCTTTGTGCAAACTATATGAGACTGGTTCTTTTAATGTTTTAGTCGGGATAACCGCTACATTTTAAACTTCTTCATAATCTGGCATGATTGGATCCAATGATCATTATACAAGATTGTGTTTAATAGGGTGGCTCATTTCACCACTTTTTGGCGTGTTAATGAATTTGTAGGACAATGACAGGTCTACATCTACACTCATCACAATCTACACATCATATAAATGTGAAATGTGAAATGAGAAAAGAGGGATTCCATTTCAAATTTGATGCGTACAGAGCAATTTTTTAGGGGTAAATTTAGAAGATGCCAGTGCGGTCGGTCTGTTGAGCACGAAAGTAAAAATATGTTTTCATTTAAACGGGCCCAAACTGTTATTTGGCCCACTAATCGTGCACCCATCGCCAATGCAGTCAAATTCGGGATTTTGATCGTAAAATCGTAGGATTTTAGGATTTTACTTAGGGATTCAGATCTTGATTTTATTATAAAATCGGTGGACCTTAAAATCGTTTAAAATCGGGACTAAAATCGTTAAAATCGTAAAATAGTATCGAAATCGGGATTTTGATCATAAGAGAACAAAATAGGTGGTTTGAGCCAATTTAAAATAAGTATAACTGTTTCAGCGGAAAGGGCAATGGAATCTTCTCAGATATTTTTCTATTAGAAAAATATTCAAAAATAATAAAAATAACCAAATTAGGGTTCGGTTAATCTCTTTCCCTTCACCCCATTTAACTTATTGGTAAAACACCTGTCCTAATATTGGAAGTATGTAAGAACTAACATCATTATTAACTAATTAATTTATTAATGAATATATTTGTACCAAGCCACTAACATTACTTATTTTATTGGAGTTCAATTATTTTTAGTTTTAAATCATACTTAGTAGAAGATGTCGAAATATTACTTTGAGTTAAACAACCTAGACATAACATGAAAAATAAGAGCCAAACCCATGAACTATATCCCTTCATCATGAATTATTTTGAGTTACACATTAAATAACATTTAAAATAGTGATTTTGGAACATTAATCTTGAGAATTATCTTATGGAAAAAAAATCTTCTGAATTATCATTTTAAATGCTATGTGTCTTTGTGATATTAATAATTTACCTTATTAATATTCTTATATGCTATGTTCTATATGGTACTTAAAATCCTACGATTTTACGATTCGATTATACGATTTTGATTTTACCCCAGTTTTCGATTTTAGGTAAAATCTCGATTTTAATTGCTTTGCCCATCGCAGCCTCTCCAAATCTTCCTATTCTACTCGCCGGGTCATCTCCTCCACTACAAAATATCTCCTCATGTACTCAAAGTTCTCACTGAAACCTAAATCTACAACTTAGGCGCAGAGGGAGCAACAGATGGATTGTAGCGACCCCCACTATTTTGATAGCTAATCAAGAAGAGCGTGTTTGTTTAGTTGTATGGTGATTCACTTAATTAACAATTTTTATTCCGTTGACAGCCTCCTCTCCGCAATTGTATTGTGTTCACGAAGATCTGAAGGCGCAAGTGCAACAGGTCCAGGGGTAAACAATATGTATAAAGCGTTGGCCAAATTGAATTGAGTCATTCTACTTGGAATATGAAGATTTTTGCTTAATTGCTTTGGTTCGTGATGCAACTATGTTATGTTTGAAGGTAAACCAACGCAAACAACAGCACAGCTCCAGGGCTATTCTGCACATTAGGTAGTTGGGGCATTAATTGATAATTATTTGGGATTATTCCTACAAGTACACAATTTGGAACGTGCCATTATATTGCATTGATTAATAGTTGTTTGAGATTTTTCAAATGAGTGATTTGACATGTTAAACTCTCTTATTTTTGAAAATGGAGTCTTCGAAGTGGAATATGAAGATTTTTTATTAAGCTTGGTTTCGTAACGCCCTTATGGGTGTTTATTCTCTAAAATGCAGTTGTCTTTCAAAGTGCCCGTTGCAAATGGCAAGTCAGGATACAACGATGGTACCGGTACACGTTTATATCATTAGTAGGTAGCAGATTGTGTCCATTCTACTATATCATTTAGCTAAATACTTAGTTGTTCTTTTCAACTAAAAATTATGCTTAAATGCTGTGATTGGCCTCAGAAATGTATGTCTTTGCATTAACTGTTAATGATTGTGAGTTTTGGTTTAATGGTGAAAAAGTCCATTTATTTAGAAGTCTAAATTGGGCAAACCTATTGGACAATAGGAATGCCATACATTAGTGTCGTGGGAGGTTTGTTTGATGTCTCAGGGTGTTAGATTTTTAAGAAGGTTGTTTGTTGTGGCAGAGAGTCCCTAAAGCTAGCGAGGTATTCCTATGTGGGCTTTTTCTTTGTTTGACTTTTTCTCGCCTTTTTTCTTATCTCTTTTTCTATTTTTGGTTTTTGTGTGCTACCTTCAGTTGCTACGTCTTCATTTGTGAGCCATCTATACTTTTCTTATTCGGTGCCTAAAAATCATATATACTCGATTGCATAGTAGTTACTAATAGATACATTTATACCAATAGAGAGATTTTAAGTTTTATCAGTTGTTAGTTTTAATATTTACTTACATTGGTTGTTTATGTAGTTTTCTTTGTAATATTTCTCATTATACAACTAATTACTATGACTACGTAGTTGTATAAGTGAGGGTTGGACATGATAGTTCTTAGAAGCATCAATACTTGAAGGTTATTATAATGACCAAATTCTAAAGTTATGGTTTGCCTTCAACTTGCTTGGAGCATTTCAATTATGCATCAATTGTTCTCTCCGTGTAGTTAACTCTCAGACAAATCGAAAATCTTGCTGATATGTGCTTGATTGTAGTTAAATTTAGGGTTCTACTACATTGTTGCTTTACTCTTTTTTCGTGGTTGAGTCTGCTTCAAAAAATTTAGTTTGAATTTAGAAAATTTTGCTTCTGCAGTCCTGTCTTGCCACCAACGCGTTCAATAGATGGAGACGGGAGAGGCGAAGGCTATTTTTGTGTTGTTGTTGCTGGTTTAGGGATCGGTTTGTGAAGAAGAGGGAGAAGAGAGGGGGATAACTCTTTTCTCCGACAAAAATGGAGTGAAGAAAGGAATTATGATCAGTAAGAATATGGTTATCTTACATAACGGTCTCTATTCTGTTTGAATTGAGCTTGAGAGGCAGTGATAAGGACGAGCTGCAACCAATTCATAGTGAGAAGAGAGCTATGAACTGTGATCATGTCTTATTTCAAGTTAGAAGATAGTTTCAGTATAAGGATTATTTAATTTGACAAGTTGTTTCGTCCATGATTCTTGGTAGTTTCAGTGCCATTCTAGCCAATGTTTAGTCTGTAATTTTTGAGAATTGATGTGCGAGTAATGACTTTCACTTAGCTTCAACTATTATGTGTGTATTTATTGGCATGTGATAGAATTCTCTTTTCCTTTTCATTGAATTCATTTTCCTACTCTAATTGTATTATTTGTACATAGGAAAATCATGCTCGAGATGGCAACTCGCTGATATGGCTGGTGCAAGGAATGAAGCCATCATTAGAATTCAGACCGACAACGGGGAGGGATGCCCAGGACTAATTCAATGATGATTGATGATGGTATAATAAAAACTGCAGTCTGCATCAGCACCAATTTCTAGGCCTAAGTAAAGGTATTCAACCCAGAACTCTGCTTAGCGCTAAAAATTGCTCTCACCCAACCTTGATCCTGTTTGACCCACTTCTGAAGAGTCATGATATATGACTAATCCTCCCCGTTCGTATTTTCTTATTGACTCTTTCTGACCCTGTAGGTTGGGGCGGGGCGGGAAGAATTGGATTAGTGGGTCGGTCCTAATCAAGTGGAATCTCAATCCCTTCACTCTCACTTGCTTTCTCTCCCATTCCACAAGTGGGTAACATACAGTAATCCGGCCAACGGGCCGGGTAATAAGCTAGTTTGCTAATTATGTCAGAAGAGAAAGGTGCTTAACGTTATGATTAATTGAAAATATTTTCGAGGCATATTCGTTCTCTATTGCTTTTTTTTTAAAATATAATCGAGGGGATTCCGTTTTAAAGTTTGGAAGAAATAGTATCCCAATTCTTACGCAACCCAATATTGATGACTAGATTAGGGCCCGAGGCCCGACCGATGGTCGGATTCCTTTGATCAATGACATAAGCAGTTATATAATTGTGTGAGGCATTATATAGATTAAAAAAATACATAATATAAGTTATCATTCTTTGATTCATTGATGAAAGTCCTCAACGAAAGTTGAAAAAAACATATACATGGGAATCGATGTTTAAAAACTTTAGCAAACAACACTTTCCGTCGGGTTGACTTTAGTTGATTCTGGCGTGACAGATTTTTAAGTGAGTTGAATGATTTTTATTGATGTGACAAGAAATCAAACGTTTGACCATG